ATAACAAGCAACCCCTTTGCGGAGTAACATAATATGGATATCTTTCGGTTACTTTAATATTCACTGAACGTTTTCTCACACTCATTTTTTTTACATAACAACGATACCAATGTATCGTACTCCATTGTAAGTGGCAACTTAACATGACACTGTGGAGAACAACTATAGCGTACTGAGTTATTCTCCACCAGGCCTCACCCCCCAATATAATGAAACCCTAATTTTTTGCTCTTCGGACATTATGACAAAATGCAAAATAACTTAACGAACAAATATTTCGGAAGACTTGAAGGATCCTGAATGGATTTTACAAAATCCTGAAACTCCTTAAATAAGAAAAAAACAAGATTGAGGGGTACAATTATTTGATATATAACGCCTTAAATATGCGAGCTATACCCCTATAAATTATTGATATGTCAGTTTTGAGCAAATAAATTATTGGTGGGTCCAACTTTTATAAATAGCGCGGTTATTAACCGCGCTATACCTTAACGGACAAACGTGTCGTTAAAGTATAACGCAGGTATAGCACAGTGAATAACCGCGCTATATAAAAAATAATACCCATTTTTTTTTAACCTATTATGGTCGCTTGAGTAAAAAAAAAAAAAAAAACCATAATTAGGTTTCGGACTCACATATAACTTGGCTGCTGTAGTTGGTACTGCAGCTTTCAAAGTTGAAAAGAAGTTTATTCTGAGAATCCGATACATTACATGTTGTCAATAACATCTTTTGAATTTTTAACTTTCGGCCACAGCCTTTGATCAAAGAAAGATTTCCCGTCTTTGATTTTACTACCTTTTGATTTCTCCCTTACCCTATGAAGATTGAAGAATCACCAAAGCCTTAAAAGAAGGAAGATTGTTTTCTTATTACAAAATTGACAGCTCGAAGTAAGGCATAGTTTTAGTTTTATTTAAAAAAAAAAGAAGCTTATATTTTGTATTGCTTCAGTTTATACACCACTATATTATGATATCGAAAGCAAGAATATAAGAACAATATGTTAAATTTGTCCGATAGAATACACGTGGCTCCCCGTGATTTAGTAAAAAAGAGGTGTTATTCTTTCTTCAACTAATTGCCCAGAGTCTCAAACTCCTAAGTCCAACTATGTGAAAGTTATATCAACTATTTTAATTTGACAAGGCAACTTTGACGTACAACTAAAGACGGAGCTAGTATTGTGAGTTACTTTGGTCCAAACTATATATGTTTTAAGAAACTTATTTAGAAGGTGCTAAAATTTCGAACCCATAAATTTAAAATTCCGACTTCACCTGTGCGTACAACACTATGTTGGCCAGAATATATATAACAGATCTTGGCCTGGGTTCAAAAGATTATGGGTGCTTGATATGCGTAATTCCATAACTTCAAATAGGTTGCTGCCGTATTTGCCTATTCTGATCTAGTCAGTGACAAATATAAACATTATTACAAAGTTTGACATTTCGTTCAGTTTTCTTTTGTATATTTGTTCAACACTTTAATAATTTATCCTCAGCAAGCTCTCGATCAATCCCATCTTTTTATTTTTGTTTTTTAAGCACGAAAGATATAGTATTGCTAGTTAGTGATTAATTAATTAATTAAAAAGGTTACTAAGTCATAAGAGGTCATTGATGGGTGGACGTCGTTATCACCCAATTAAAGTTATGGATTTTCTAACATTTATCAATTTCAGCTTTCATACGTTAAAGATATTACTCAAGTCGTAGGTATAATTAATAGGAGAAACAGTTCTGGTAAGGTCATAAACAGTTTTCTTTTCCCTCTTATTTCTTAGATAGATTACTACTATGAATGTTGTCATAGTATGATCAGCTTGTGTAGAAAGTGCGTTCTTTGAGGTACACGCAAAATAGGCACACATCAAAAGTGATAATTCGTCCTTTCATGCGCGAATTCAGAATTTTAAATTTTACGGATTTAACCTTTAAGATTTTTAGCATTAACTCATTACATTTTTAAAGTTATAGGTGCATTCTACTATTTGTTATACTTTTAATAGATTTTTACACATAAATATATATTGCGCTTTGAAAGTTATAGGTTCAATTTAACATGTTACCTTAATGCCGAGTAAATTTCACAAATGGTCATATAACTATGAGTTTTTTTTCACCAAAGTCAAATAATTTTGTTTTCTCACACAAAAATCATAAAACTTTCATTAACTCACACAAAAATCACACTGACCAGAAAACACAAATTTTCGGTAGTGTTTTCTTATTTCAAAATTTTTTATCTTTAATTTTCTCTCTAATAAATAATAATCCAATTAAAATAGGAATGATCCAATCCGACCCGACCCGACCCGATCCAATAATCATATATATAAATTAAAATACTACTAAAAGTGAATCCTCCAAAATACTATATTTCTATCTTTTATTTTTCTCTTCAAGCTTTTCATTCAAATTAATAGCATTATTATTTCAAGGGCTCTCTANGAAACTAATTCCATTCGCTAGCCACAAAATTATATAAAACATGTATATTATATGTATATAATACATATATACAAAAAAAAATATTTTATCGGCTATTATTTTTAGGAGCGGCTAAAAATATATATTTTTCTTATTGATTTATTTTTTATTAGACGGAAAATAAAAAAATACTACCGGAAAGGGTTATTTTTCGGTCACTATGATTTTTGTGTGAGTTAATAAAAGTTTTATGATTTTTGTGTGAAATTATATAGTTATACGACTTTGGTGAAAAAAAATCATAGTTATATGATCATTTATGAAATTTACCCCCTTAATGCTTCATAGCCTCTTTTTAGAACGGACTATTAAGGAAAGTGTGTCATCTAAACTGAAACAGATGGAGTATATATATGGACAATCAATAATTTTTAATCTGTTCTAGAAGGTTATTTGTCATTTCTTCTAAATCACAAGTCAATACTTATTAAATAAAGATATCTACACTTACTTTGAAGTGATTTTATTGTGCTGTAACACCATTAAATGCATAGAAGTTAAAACTCAATATTTATATACTGAAACTCTCAAGAAACTCATACTATCAGTTCTTGAAAGCACGTATAATACAAACCAAATGCTCATACCGACCAAAGGGAATTAATCTTGGAACTGAAATCCTTTTTTTGTTTTGGGGATTATATTCCTTCTTCCATTATCTAGAATTATCCAGCTGCGGATGACTTGGCATTGCGTCAAAGCTTTTCACGAGAGAAACTTAGCTAAGATAGAAGGGAATTGAGTTATCCAGAAGAGAAATACCTTGCATACACATTAAGAAATGGCCGGCATGCTTCAGTGGCGGAGTCAGGACTTTTATTAAGGAGAGTCAAAATATAAAGAAATAAACTCACGAAGTCAAGGGGTGTCATTATATAGTATATATATATATTTATTTATTTATTTTTTTAAAAAAAATTACTGAGTTAAACAGTGTAATTTTCCGACGAAGGTGCATGCGGCTTCGGCACTGCAACATGCATCAAAACTAGCATATTGCCCAAGCTCATGATACTATAATCAAACAACTAATGTCAAAATCCTAGAAGGAACATTAAGTCCAAAACTCATCATACTATAGTTTTTTAAAAAAAATGTCAGCATCGGTGCACAAAGTATTTTGCGTTTATGCAGTATCCGGGAAGGATCGCACTATAAGGAATGTGATAGAGACAACCTATCCTAATACAATCCGCTTCAAAAGATATTAGTGACCAACAGGCGCAACGTCAACTAGCACCTTCCAATAGCACAAGTACGGAACAAAACTACCCGCTAAAGTTTAAACGGATGAAAAGAATTAATACTATGACCAAATAACTAATATCAAAATACCACAAAGAAATGTAGGGCTTAAGACATATTTTCTTGGTGGGGGTAACAAATGTCTTCTCTTTTTGTTTTCAAATAGTTTTTAAATGATGATCACATACTTTAAAGAAATATAAGTTAATACAAGTTTTGTCACTTGGTGGTCCTAAAGAGCATTCAGCATCAACTCCAAACAAAGTATATTGGATGAAGGTGGGGAGGGGTAGACAAAAGAAAGAAAAGCATAGGCTTCCAAATTAAAGTTGCAAAAATAAAGCAAAGATCTTTGAACTGATCATCCCACACACAAAGCTAGCGTACGCACTCCAAAAGAAAGAATCCTAACCATTCCCCACGCAACCTCTTTGCTCCCCTCATTCTCCTCTATCCTAAAATGCCCTTCTCCAACTAAAAAAAGGGCTCTGAACCTCATTCTTAGGATTTATCTCATATATACAAAGAAAAAAGTTTGTATTATCAATGTATTTTAATCTGTTGTAGTAGATAATGTGCTTATATTCATGTCACTAATTTCATAAGACTATTACTTATAAATTGTGATTATCTTTTAGATAATCTTTGATACTGTTATTTTCTTTGTTTCGAAAAGATTGATACTATTTTCTTATTAGCCTGTTTCAAAAGATTGATACCTTTCAATATTTTCTTAATCGGAAGCATTTATAGCTCTACAAATACTATGACAGTTTTAAAAGTTTTATAGTCACACAAATGTTATGTCTTATTTAAGACCACATATCTCAAAAGTCTTTCTTTCTTTATTAGAGTCTGTAGCAAGTCAAACTATGACAATCTTATTTAAACGGATATAGAAGCAAACTCTACCTCTTACCCTTTATCATACAAGGAATAACATATGCTACACTAAATTCTTAATGAATATATGAAAAAATTTAAAATCTACTACATTTCAAGAAAAATGAGTATTTTAGGAAAAGATTATTCCAGAAAAGTATTTCCTATCATACAAGGATAAGATTGTCATAAGAGTGGAATAGTTAAAAAAAGAAAAGAAATAAAGCATAGCTTGAAATCAGGTCACTCCTTCCAAAACCTTTCTTCATCACTCTCTCCTTTTCTATACTTTTCCTTGGCACTAAGATTTCTCTCATCCCTTAACATAAAACAAGATCCAAAACAAACACCAGTCTTCCTCTCTATCCTTCAATGGGAGATAATACAGCTCCTCACACCCCCAAAAAACAAAAGAAACTAGACTCTGAAGTTCAAGCAAACCATGCAAAACATAGTAAGTTCTATAATCATTTTCTTTTCAAAGCTTCCCTTCTTGTGTTTTTTCTAGTTGTACTTCCACTTTTCACTTCAGAAGCTCCTGAATTCATTAACCAAACTCTGCAAACAAGAAGTTGGGAAGTTCTTCAGCTAATATTTGTTGGTATAGCTGTTTCATATGGCTTATTTAGCAAAAAAAGTAATGAAAGAGAGAAGGAACATACCTCAAAAATTGATAATGCTCAATCATATGTATCTGGATTACTTCAGGTTTCATCTGTTTTTGATGATGAAGCCGAAAGTCACGACGAAAACAAGGTACAAACTTGGAATAATCAGTACCATAGAGGTAATAATCCAGTAGTAGTAATTGCTAAAGAAAGTCATGGTTTTAATGAACAAAGAGCTGTTAGTTCAAAAATTGGTGAAAAGCCTTTGCTTTTACCAATTCGAAGCTTGAAATCTCGTGTTCTTGATCCTGATGTAGGGGAAGAATCTAATGAAAAATCTAATATTGGTTTAAAGGGTTTCTCTAGCAATGTAAATAAACCAAGAAATGGGGATTTTGTAGTGTCAAGTCCTAAGAAAATGGTGGAGAATATAGAGGAAAATGTTGTCCGTCCATCGCCAATTCCTTGGAGATCAAGATCAGCAAGAAATATGGAGATTAAAGAAGATGAAAATAATAATAATAATCATCCCCTTAAATCTCTATCTCCTTCAAAAGAGAATCCTGGATTTAACAAGATTGAACCATTTTCTTTAAGATCTCAATCCTTTAGATCACCTAGGCCTAATACTTCACCAATTAATCTTTCTCCTTCACAATCCTTTTCATCTTCAAGAAAATTGTCCCCTTCACTTTCCTTTTCATCTGAATCACAAGCCAAGATTGTTGAAGATGTAGTTAGAAAGAAAAGCTTTCGCAAATCGACTCCTCCTCCTCCTCCTCCTCCTCCTCCACCTCCACCCCCGCCACCTCACTTCTATTATAAGAATTCTCCTCTGATGAAATCAAGCTCTAGTGTTAGAGATGAAAATGTTTCTACTGAGAAGGAACTGCTGAGAAGCATTAGGAGTGTGCCAATGGTATCAACTGGCAATGAAAAATTCCAACCTCCAAAGAAAGCATATTCAGGGAAAGAATTGAGGCCATTCATTGGTAGTGCACGAGCAAAAGAATATGGTGAAGAATTCATAGCAGAAGAAGTTGAAGAAACTATTGGATTCAAGAGAGGATCAACTGATAAACTGATGCATGAAAGTTACAACTTTGGATCAAAACCAGGATTTATGGAGTTCCCACAAGAAGAAAATAAAGAATATGTTGAGAAGTTTCTTGTGGAAACTGATCTTGAAGATTCGGAGACTGAAAGTGAAGATGATTACTTTGAAGAAAATCCAGAGAAAACAGAAGTTACAACTCAGAGTACATATAGTGATGAGGGACCAGATGTTGACAAGAAAGCTGATGAGTTTATAGCCAAATTTAGAGAGCAGATTAGGCTTCAGAGAATTGAATCAATCAGAAGATCAGCAGGACAACCTGCTAGAAACCTTGTAAGATAACCTTGTTCTATTTAAGGCGATCAAATTCACCTTATTTAGTTATATGGTTGACAGTTTCATAAGAGAAGTTTTCTTTTCAGTTTCCCTATTTATACATCCTGAGTTTTCTGGTATACAGAGATTTTAGCATTGTAATTACAATGTAATTACCTATGCTTCCTCCTGTAACTGATTTGTTACCATGAGGCTTCTTATTATTATTATTGGCGGGGCCGGATTTATGGGGCGGAAGGGGGTTCGTGGTGAACCCTCTTGCCGGAAAATTACACTGTACGTATAAGGCAAAATCCGTTTATAGTATATTTTGAATCCTTTTGATACAGTCCAAAATCATATCTCAGTGGTCAAGAGGTTCAAAACCTTTTGTGAGGTTGCTGGTTTAATTCCCACTAGCCACATTCTCTTCTAGTTTTTCAACTGTTCTTTTTCGAACCCCCTTAGTAAAACGAAGATGTCTGATTATTCCATGTTATATTCTGATTATAAGTTCTGACTTTCCAAAATGTGATGTTGGCTTTCAGTTCTTGCATGTTTTTAATTTACGCTGCATTCTAGCTTAGGCGAGCAGCTTTGATGACACTCACTAGCTTTCACTCAGAACTATATATTAATATATTGAAAAAGAAACTATATACTATTATAAATCACATATATTCTAGACCAATAAATTTTAAATTCTGAATTCGCTTATGTTCTTGAGACGTCTTGCGTTAGTTTACTAAATGGTTTCATATTAAACATGTACCAAGACCATCCAACTCAGGACTTTTGAAGTGCATTTTTAAAAATGATTCAGCGTCTTTTAGTTGCTTTACACTTATATGTTTAAGAGTAAGGAAATTCTCGAAAAGTTATGATCTGTCAATGAGTACAGATTACTGTTTCCATCTCTTTGATGAAATTATCCCTAATCAGCGAGCAACTGATACCATCTTTTTTGAGTTGAGAGTCTTATCAGAAATAGCTTCTCTACTTTCACAAGGCAGCTGTTTGATCCAAAATTTAGATTTAGGTTTAAACAATTAGATTTAATAAAATAGAGGTAATCTTAATCAATATTAGCGTCCAAAAGATATTTTAACTGATTTTGTAGTATGATGATATATATATTACTTAGCTAATAATGAATGATGATAACACTAGCAATATTCAATGACCAAAAAGAAGGGGATAACATTAAATAAAAATAAATAGCAATTAATGACATGTAAGTAAATAATAATGTGAGAGTCACCCGAAAAGAGTAAAATGTATGGATATTCTTTCTGACAATGATGAATGATTGATAAGCCTTCGAATGTTCAAATTGTCGTTGGATCGAGTGGAAAACTTATGCAAGAATCTTACGGAAAAGGTATATCTTGTATGTTTGCAATAAAAACAGATTCTATAGAGAAAGTCAATGTATTTTCTTACAAGTGAATATTTTATGTCCCCTATCCTTATATCTCTTTCTATTTATAGGGAACATATGCCTAAAATCCCTAAGAGTACAGTACAAAAAATATCCACTAAAATATCTTTTTAGTGTCTTATCCTAAAACTAGCCGTTATTTACTCTATCTACGATGAAAGCTCGACCTCGACCTAGATTTTCGATGAGTCCTCGACCTTGATCTTCAATAACTCATCGGCTCTGCCCTTCATCTCTTAAGAGACTACTTCGACCTTGGGCAAGCCTTTGTCGAAGTCATACCGGTGAATTTACTTAATGCTAATTCACTTTAATCATATAAAAATAATTTTTGGCACATACACTTTCTCAGACCCCAGTTGTGGGGCAATAATCTATGTCTGTTTCTGTTGTTAGAGAGCAACTGATATTAAAGAGTTTGCAAGTAGTAAACTAGTAATGCTCTATTCTTCTGATATCATGAAATGGATGATTAAGCTTTGTGCTGATCTACTAATTTACAAAAAAAAAATTGGATCACTTTGATATCTCTAAATCGATCAAGAAGACCACTTTACTTTCTTATTGTCCAAATACAAACACCATGGCTGCAAAGAGTCTCACGTCTAGGTTATTAGTAAAAAGTCTCCCAATGATATACTCCAAAGAGACNTAAAGTTTATTTTTTTAGTTTTTTGAGATGTAAAATTATTAATAATTTATTTATAATCGATTTTCTTGACTAGAATTATATATGTTTCCCCTTTCTAGGATTATTATTCAATTTTTTTAGAATTTTCTGATTTTCTAAAAAATCTGTGACTCGCCAATTTCTTCTTCTTCTTGGATTCCATTATCGTCTAACTCAACTATATTAGTGATTTGTTCATCTACCACAAAATTTTTCCTAATTTTTTATTTAAAATTTTTTTGTTCGCTAAAAATTTATCAAGCGTTTCTTTTTGGGATTGTATTAAAGTTCCAATTCTTTCATTTTTTGGCATTTTTAATACGCGAATTCATATTTTCTTGTTGACATATTAAAATTCATAATAAATAAATAAAAAGATGATACATATACTTACAAACAAAAGATATCAAAAAATAATAAATTCTAGATGCAAAGTAATAAGAAAAGTACAGAACAATTGAACATGGTTTAACAAACAGTTATAGATAATTTGATATTACTTTTGTTGCTTCAATATTTTTGGTGCAATGCCGGGAAAGCTTGACAAAAAAGGGTTGCAATTGCCTTTTGCTATCTTACTTGACGGAATATTTTATGAGATAGTAGACTTGTAAAGAAAGACAAAGTAATCAAAGTAATGTGGGCCTCGTGATAATGATGATAGTGTATGAAGGAGTCAAGAAACATATTCACATCTAAAGTTTAGGGCTGAATCCCAAAAGTAACTATTTATATTACCAAATTATCTCTTATTTTCTTTTTCATGAAAAATGTATTTTTTTTGATATATTAGATATTTTTAAAAAATAATTATCATATACAGCTATATAATATTAGAAAATGTTGGGGCCCATAGATATGACTTACCATCGGGCCGTCCCTATATATATATATATATATTTCTTCATAAATTGGAGAGATGACTTATGCTAGAGATGAGCATAAGTGATTTTCCTAACTTAACTATTACTGCTTCGTTTTATTCGATTTAGGGTAAACATTGTTATCAACCACAAAGACATAAACTTATTACCGAAACATAGCCTCTTGTCCTGTCTCTGACATAATAGCACTAGTACAAATTACGTACCGTAATACCCAATCAAAAAGCACTTAAAATTGATTAAAATTGTTTTCAAAGACAAAAAAAATATCGAGTAAATATATGTTACACAAATAGCCGGCCATATTTATTGTTTACTTTTTCTAGTCATATACATAGATTATACATTCATTATATATAGTTATACACATATAATACATAAATTATGCATACATTATACCTACACTGGCTATTTTTAGTTTAAGAGGTTATGTAGACGGCTATTTGGGTTAATTCTTCTAAATATATTCTCTGTACAAGACATTTCCCATCACATTGATTAGCGAAGCTATAGATGGGTCATTGGGCCAGTGGGAACACATTATCTTGGCCCATGATATTTCAAGATTTTGTTTGGCCCATTAAACGCAACAACTAAGACATCTCCCTATTGCACACCCTTCCTTTCCACATGTACATTTTGATTACTATATAAACAATATAATATTCTTTATTTTTATTCTTTTGGAACAAGAATGAAGCGAGGACATGGGAATGATAGAAGGAAATTAAAAAAACTAGTAGCATCCTTACTCAAGTTCAGAATAAGCGCTTAAGTAATAAATCTTATTGGATAAGCGCTATAGTAACAAAGTTTTATTGGTTATCTTAGTCCTACTTATTGTTTCGCCTGCCACAAAAATTCTGGAGAAAAAACGAACATGTGAATATTAGAGGAAGACACCATTAAAAAAATATCATTTGTCAAATTAGAAGTCAGAACTATGCATTTGTTTACCCGTCAAACACATTCTTTACCTTCTTTTCCAATGGCTTCTTCCTCCAAACATGGTGGCTCTACAAAGACTAAGAACAAAACCAAAGATTCCGTTCCTCCAACAGTGGGTTCCATCATCCCAAGAAGACTTAATATTTCGAAGAATTTTGAAGAAAAATTTTCTACTGCTAACCCTCGTATATGGGTTGTTAGTAGGTACTCTTCTTCCATTCGTCCTTCTAGTATTCCTTCTGTGAAGGAGGACTGCCGCTGCAATGACATGGAGATTATCGCTCCCGATCTATCGGAGCGAGTGACCTTTCCCAAGGAAGGTTTTATATAATTTTTCACGTATCCCTTTACTTTGGGTGCGTTTTCTTGGAGCAGAGAGCTTGATTCCGTAATTGCGGAGTTTTGCCTTCGCTACCAGGTATGTTTAGCACAGGTAAGTCCTTCTGCGTGGAGGACGATCGCCTGCCTCCGACGCTTATGCCAAGAAACTGGGGAGGAGCTAATCTTAGCTCATGTGACGAATCTCTATTCCCCCAAGATCTTCCGCGAAGGAATGATAAAATTTTGCAAGCGTGACCATCATGTTTTGTTGTCTAGCATTGATAAAGACAACGACCGTGGGTGGATGGAATGGTTCGTTGCAGTTGCCACCAACGACATCATTCCGATAACGGCTTCATCCTTTCCGGTTGCTTGGAACCGCACTCGTAAGTTTTTTGTATAATATTCTTCTCAGTAGATGTTCTTCTATGGCTGTATTATCTCTTCACCCTTCACATGTTTCAGCAACTCGATGGATTTCACCAGTGGTGAAAGGTTTGGGCTGGTGGCTTCAGAAGATTTTGAACGTCACAACGCCCGAAACTCCTTCGTGAAAAGAACTGGCCCTTAAATACGGATGGAAGGCGAAACATCATGTTAACTTTAATTTACATTGTTTCCATTTTTGTATATAAAGAACTTGGTTGAATCTTTCTGACTTATTCACAAAATTAAGTCTACTTGCTGGCTCAGTTGATATCCCAGAGGAGGATGTTTTGGCTGACCTTGCTGATGCAGTGAGGCTGCTTCAGGAGGAACTAAT